TGGATGGATGGATGGATGGATGGATGGATGGATGGATGGATGAGTGGGTGGGTAGATGGATGGATGGATGAATGGATGAGTGGGTGGGTGCATGGTTGCATGGATGATGGATAGATGGATACATGAGTGGATGGACGGATGAATGGATGGATAGCTGGATGGCTGGATGTTTGGGTGAGTAGATGGATGGATGGATGGATGAATGGATGAGTGGGTGGGTGCATGGGTGCATGGATGATGGATAGATGGATACATGAGTGGATGGATGGATGGATAGCTGGATGGCTGGATGTTTGGGTGAGTAGATGCATGGATGGATGGATGGATGGATGGATGGATGGATGGATGGATGGATGGATGGATGGATGGATGGATGGATGGATGTTTGGGTGAGTGGATGGATGGATGGATGGATGGATGGATGGATGGATGGATGGACCAATACCATCTTGTCTCCTTCACAGCAGTGTCTGGTGAGGCTTCCATTAGGGGGTTGTCTCATCTGACAGAAGGTCCCTCTGGTATGGGCAAGAAATGCCCCAAAGTACAATGTCGGTGGGGTGGATAGAGCAGGCCAAGGATGAGTGAGGGCTGGAGAGGGTGCCATTTTCACAGTATGCCCGGAGCCCTTGGTAAGGGGAGCTTGCCTGGTAGCTCCAGCCATGGGACACACGTTCACAGACTCCCTTGTTCCAGCCCCTCATAGCTGGTGAACCCATGGACGCTGACCTGGAAGAAGAGGTGCTGAGGAGGAAGCTGGAGGCACTGACCAGCCATGTCAGTGACCAAAGCACCTCGTCTGAGGAAGAGGAGGGCCAGGCCTGGGCATCAACGGTGTCAGACAGAAGCACCTCCATCAGGGGACTCCCGGGCACCCCCCCGAAGGTGAGACACCCCTGAAAAGCAGAGAGGGGAGCAGGTGTCTGTGCAGCCAGCCCCCAGAACCAAACAAGCAGAAAACCTCCCTGCCACCGAGTCCGTTCCGAGTCACAGAGACCCTACAGGACACGACAGGACTGCCCCTGCGGGTGTTCGAGACGGTTGCTCTTCACGGGAACAGAAAACTTCACCTTTGCCCAAGGCTAGCGTCCAGGGCTATGTGAACGCCGCACAGCCCCCCAAGTCCCCCCGAGTCCCCAGTTCAGCTGTGACAGACCCCGCTCTCTCAGCGATTGTGAAGAGCAGCTACTTCCAGTCTTGGCATCCTGCAGGGTGGCCATCCAATCCAGGGATCTGGGAATTCCTTTCATGGGACTTCCTGGGGTGGGTGTGGGGGTCCTGGGTGCCTGGATGTCCCCCCCAGGATGAGTGTGCCTGCCTAGCTAAGGGCTTCTACATCTCTCAACAGTGGCTGGGAGGGGGCAGTTGGGGGTGAGGGGGGTTGTTCATTAACATAACACAGACACCCTGACCTAAAAGTAAGATCACCTTAACAGGGCTGGGGTCAGGGTCCTAGCACACATGAAGGGTGCAGTTCCATCCATGTAGCAGCAAACCCCAAGGCTGCCAGCCTTTGTCACTGAGGGGCATTGCCAGGGCTCCAGGTGGCCAGTGCTGGCCAGGCAGCTGGCTGGCAGCTCTGGGAACTGAAAGGGACCATGAACACCATCATAGTGAGGCCCTGAAGCCCTTGAGACTGGTGGTCAGCCACGGTCTTTTCCACCCCCAGGTGTGTGCAGATGCAGGAGTGATGGACAGATGGGAGACAGACCTGCAAGGTCCCCAGGATCACGTCCCACCTGCCAAGATGACAGACAAGGAGCTGTCGGAGCTGGAGGACCGAGTGGCCGTGACGGCCTCCCAAGTCCAGCAGGCTGAAAGCGAGGTACCCCGGGCACAGGCAGCCGATGCCTTGCCTCAAAAATGCCACCCAATGGCCCCTTACCTTGGACTCCGTGGGCTCGTCCGTCAGGCAGGAAATGAGTCTGGGGTTCTGTGGGCCCTGCTTCACTCCCTGAGTCACCTGGTGATAAGCTCTAGTGGGGAGAGGGGTCATCCCAGGGGTCCAGAGACCAGGGGAAGAACTGGAGGGATGTGAACTGCAGGAGGGAAGCCTGGTTTTCATGTTTGTGGTATCCTCTGTGCTGGGAGGGAAAAGGGGGGCCAGAGGTGAGGAAATGGGGAGTGGACCCCCGTGCCGTGTGCAGGTCTGGTTGGAAATGGTGCCAGGGGAGCAGAGCTGGCATCCACCAAGCCTCTGCCCACAAGGAAGAGCCCATCCTCAGACCCAGCAAGACCCCTCCTTCAATCCCTGGCAAAGCCAGACTCTCCCTGGGCCTGCCCATACACCTTTCCTTCCACCTGGGGAGTGGTCCAGTAGGAATGACCACAGAAGATGGAGGGGCCCACTCCAAAGCCCCTCAGCATGGACACTCATCAGAAAGGACACCATACGTAGAATTGACTCCGTGGGTGGGCGGGGGGCAGCTGCTCTGTCTGTCTGCTCCATCACAGAGCCTCCTGCCAATTCATCCTCCCGTCTGTCTGCTCTCCTCGCAGGTTTCCGATATTGAGTCCAGGATCGCAGCCCTGAGGGCCGCGGGGCTCACAGTGAGACGCCCCGAAAAGCCCCGGAGGAAGTCCAACATCCCGGTGAGTGGGAGCTCGGACAGCAAGTCTCCCACAGGAGGCTCAGCTAGTCCCTCAGCTAGGGAAAGGCCAGAATCAGGAGCCCAGGAAGGGCTGTGGCCGCAGTGCTTGGCCGAAAACTGACCGCTCGGTGGTTGGAGCCGGCCCGCTGCCCTGTGGATTACAGATGAGGCGGTCCGCGCCGGTAAAGGGAGCCTTGGAGCCCCGTGGGGCAGTTCTAGTCTGTCCCAGTGGACTGCCACGCATCGGAATCACCACGCATCAGTGTGTGTCGCGAAGGCAGTGGGAGCTGCTGGGGACCCTGCGCCCCTGGTCCCCGTCAGGCTGTTCCCAGAGCCACATGGATGAGGTGAAGGGACCCGGAGAACATGATGCTGAGCGAGGTGATTCCATCAGACCACGGATAGGGATGGGAGCCAGAGAAGGACTCCGTCCCAACCGGAACAGACTCCAGAGGTTACCAAGAGGGGGAGGCTCAGGAGGGCGGATGAAGCAATGAGCAGGCGGGAGGAGGGGGGGGCACCAGGTTGACTCAGGCCAAAGGAAGGCCGGAGGTCCACAAAAAACGGGGGATACGGAGGGGTGGTTTGATGGCAGCTTGAACAGTTGGATACAGAGGTGATTGTCTGAAATGTAACACCACCACCCACTCCACTATTAAAAAAGTCAAAAAAATTAATACTTTTAAAAGCACCACACAGACAAAGAAGTGCATCAGACAAATAAAGGGATTCACAGGCTGGGCTCTTTGGTAAAACACAGAGGAATCATTAGATCTGAATTTCCCATACCCAGGGGAGAATTTTCTAGAAGGTCTCATGCAGCCTTTGGGACATGCCTATACTTTAAGAGAGAGAGAGTGGTTCTGTCTCTGTATTCAATGTCATGAAATGCTCGGTGTTTTCCTTGCCTAAACTGACAACCCCAGGCCCTGGCAGTGGAGAGGGGGTGGGGGTGCCCTTGGCCAAGGACTTGAAGAGACAGACCCTGAGGCCTCTTCTCTGCCCGGCAGATATTCCTTCCAAGACTTGCTGGGAGGGCAGGCCAGACCCCCAAGCACCCCAATCCAGAGTCTCCAGGCGAAGAGGTCAAGGTGGGTACGACCCCAGCTGAACGGGAGAGGGAGATTGCACAACACTGATGAAGGAGGCATTGCCCCCCTCCACCACCCGGGTGACCCTGAGATACAGGGGCTTCAGAACCTGACAGTCCTGGTGGCAGGGGTTGGGGCAACGGAAGCCCCAGGCAAAAGCTCACAGCAAATGGGCAAGGGGCAGCGGGGGACAGAATTGAGCCAGATCTGACATCCCCCATGGCCCAAGGGGAAGCTGGGTCCTCTCCCCCAGGGGAGCTAGCTGAGCCTGTCCACCCCGAGACAAGGGGCACAGACACCTCAGTCCCTGTCAGTCCCAGCAGACAGCTCCCCTTGCTCTGACCCTCCCTGCACTGCTAGGGACAGCCTACCTGTGGGAGCGGCACTCCCAGTAGCCCCTGCACACAAGCACGATAAAAAGCACTGAGAGGCAGAAAGACAGCAGCCATTTAGCCGAGTGGGGGCACACAAGGAGGGAGTGGGGCTGAGGTCTCCTGAGCATTGGTCCAACTAGGGGTCTCCATGCCCAGTCACCCCAGAAACAGCCGCACCTGTTGCAGGTGCTTCCTGAAAGCTGGAGGTGGGTGATGGACACTGGAACACACACCCCCATGAGTGGGCCACAGTGCACCCCAAAACCAACCATGGAAATCCTAGAAGCCAGGCATTAGGCAACATCCCTAAGGGGTCACCCCAAATGAAATGGGAAATGGTTGTCCTGTCTCAAGGAAATGGGTCTGTCAGCCCCCAGTAGAAGAAGACATCAACCAGTCTCCCCAGGCCCCTGTGAAGAGAGCTAGGGGCCCATTTCCCTGGACAGGAGACTGAAGTCCTCAGAGGCTAGAGGTGGGCGTGAACTCAGGTCTGTGGTGCTAACATCAGAGTTCCTTCCGCCAGAGGCTGCATCGAGGGCTGTTCTCCAAGAGTCACTGCCTATGCACACCTTTGGCGTGGAATTCACTGGTCACACACATTTCCATGGGGCTCAAACCAAGCCAAACCCACCGCCAGCTAGTCAGCTCCGACTCACAGCGACCCTGTAGGACAGTGTGCGAGTCCGGGTGGACTAGAGAAACAAATGCATAGACACTCATATGCGTATAAGAAAGAGCTTTATAGAGAGAGTAATTGTACATTAAGAAAACATCCCAGCCCAGTCCAAATCAAGTCCTCTTCAGACTCACGAAGCACAAGCAATCATTCTGAACACAGGAAGATCACAGACCAGTGGGAGGGAAGTCTTGTGGCTCCAGTGGCGCTGTAAGCATCTCAGCACTGGCAGGGGTCTCCGTATGGTTCCTCCAGCTCCCAGGGCTCTAGCGTAGCTCCATGTGTCTTATCAGCTAGCATGTCTATAGGGACTGAGCAGAGAGAGAGAGTGTCTCCCTTCTCCAAGGAGGACTACAGGAGGTCCCAGAATCCTCAGGAGAAGGTCCTTGTCCACACAGAGGGCTTATTGGCAGGCTAGACTCCGCCCCTTCATCTTAATCCTCTCAAATTGACAAACGATTATGCGACGAAAATGGAGAGTCGCCCTGCCCCAAGGTTTCCGAGGCTCCCACTCCTGGTGGAAGCAGACAGCCTCTCCCTCCTCCCAGGGAGGAGCAGGCGAGGCACAGTTGCAGGCCGGGAGGCTAGCCGCCTGGTGCTGGTTGAAGGTCCAGGTGTTGGCCGAGGAAGGACGGCAGCTGGCCTGGCTGGCTTTGAGCCTGGATGGGGAGGGACGTTCCAGGTGAGCCCTAGGTGTGCCTGACGCCATGGCCTCTTCCTTCCCCAGGTCACGGAGATGCCGCACCTTCTGAAGAGGAAGTTCGGTCAGCCCCCGAGAAGCCTAGGTACAAGTCACCTGGGGGAGGGGCTCAGGGGAGTGGAGGTATCTACGGGCCTTGGACCCTTGTCTCGTAAACCAGGTCCCTCATGGTGCAACCCCAACCCCGTAGGGACCTTGGCACAGAGGAAAGGGCAGCATTGATCTGGGCATCGTTGGAGTTTGCTGCTTAGCACAGACAAGGGAGGTGGTAGTGGAAGTGCTGGTGGCCCGACGTAAATCCCCCCCAAAATGGCACACAGGCCTCGGCTTCATACACGGCGGGCAGGACAGAGTCCGGCTGTCCTTGCTGTTCCATGAAGGCCCTAGTGGGACAAACACCTGGTGTGCTGGAGGGCTAGCCTGAAGGTCAGCAGTACAACACCCCCACCCGCGGTCAGAGAAAGGCCTGCAGATCTGCGTCTGTAGGGATCGAAGTCCAGAGGCCTCCTGAAGCCTCATTCTGCATTGTGACGTAGAGGCCCATGGGAGTCGGAGCCTACTCACCCACTCATCTCAGGGAGTGGAGGACGGTGACTCGGCCCTGGGTGCACGTTGTCCTGGAGTCCCACC